CGGTAAGGCTTTGAGGTTTAGGGCTTATCGTTTAGGGTTTAAGGTTTAGGGTTTAACATTTAGGGTTTACGGTTTAGGGTTAAGAACTTAGGGTTTAGGGTCTAGGGTCTAGGGTTTAGAAACAAACACCTGAGAACAAAGCCCTTAGTACCAGTGCTGTGAATGACGGGCACAGAGNTCTAGGGTTTAGAAACAAACACCTGAGAACAAAGCCCTTAGTACCAGTGCTGTGAATGACGGGCACAGAGCAGACACGTAGAGACAGAAAGATAGAGATAAACAAGAAATGACAGATAAACAGAGAGACAAACGACAAAGCGATTGATTGACAAGGCTGTATCTCTTTCCTTCTGTCTGAATGTGTTCCGTCTCCTGCTTCTGTTTCTCTGTCTCCCTATTCCTGTTTCTCTTTTGGGTTCTGTTTCTTTTTTTCCTCTGTTTTTTTGTCATGCCAAGGCGGTGATCTCTCTGACCTCATTCGAAAACAAGAAGAAAGTGGGCGCCCCTTCGCTGAGGCACAAATATTAAGGTGGCTGTCCCAGCTGCTGATGGCTGTTAAACACATTCACCAAAACCACATCATACACCGCGGTGAGAAACTCAACTCCTGCACAAGGAAACCTTCTTAGGGTGTGGGGTGTAGGATTTAGGGTTAACTGTTAGGGTTTAGGTTTAGGGTCTAGGGTTATGGGTTAGGGTAGAGTCTAGGGTATAGAGTCGGGTTCAGTGTTTACGGGTGTGGTGGGTTCTTCTGTGGCTTCAAACTCTAAACCCTGTAAAGGACAAGCGCTAAACACCAAAATTTCAAAACGCTGAACCCTAAACTCGAGTCATATACCCTTCGTGACCCTAAACCATAGATCTTACACCCTCACGGGCAGGCCCTAAACCCTAAACCAGCTAGACGACAACCCCTAAACCCTAAACCCTCGCTTGGTAAGGCAGAGTCCGTTGTTTCATCTGCCTGTGTCTAGCTGCTGTGTCTTTACTTACTTTAGGTATTGTGAGTCTCTTCTTCCCTTCTGTCACCTGCTCATTTCATCTTGTGTTTTCTTTTGGTGTATGCATCTGTTTGTGTGTTCTTGCTTCATTTGTTTGTGGTGCATTGGGGTGTACTGTCTCCTCTCGTCGGCTGTACAGACATAAAAAGCCAGAACATTTTCATTGAAAAAAACGGCAGAGTCCGTTTGGCTGACTTTGGTATCAGCAAAGCCCTCGAAAGTACTCTTGCGCAGGCGAAGACATTCATAGGCACGCCCTACTACCTCAGTCCAGAGCTATGTGAAGTATGATATATACACATATAATATATATTATATATATTGCTTATGTTGTGTATATTAGGTGTGCACGC